ACTCAACATGTCTGAAAATGAAGTCACTGTTGCCAAACCTCAACCGTTCCTCCTCTGAAAGTCCTCACAGTTAATGGCACCATTGTCCTCCCAATCATCACATCTGGAAATCGGGATGCCATGCTGAATCCCTCGCTCCCTCTCAGTCCCAACATATCGCTTATCAACAAGTTTCATTCATTTCTTGGGCTTGTTCCTTTCCTTCCACCCCCACTGCCTCAACTTTTCATTGGGTCCTCTTCACCTGGACAATGGCAAGAGCCACCTAATTCATTTTTCCGATCCCAGGTTAGTTAGCCACACTGGTTCTATGAGGATTAAAAAAAGCAAACAAACAGAGGTTTATTCCTTAAAACCCTTTTAATAAGTGGTCATTACTTACAGACTGACACTGAAAACCTTTTAGTATGCTCTTCCGATCTATTTTCTGCCAACTTTCTCCACTTTTGGCTCCTGCCCCTTCCCCAGATATGTCCTGGAGTCGCCGGAAATGACATCTTGCCTTTCCTAGAACCATGCGCTTACACGGTGGCCTTTGCAGATGGTGTCCCCTCTCAATGCCCCTCCTCTGCCACAAACACCCAAGGTAAGAGGACAGATACCAAGCACAGGTTGCATGAATGGCTCCCTCACGAACTATATTTCCTGATAGGAAGAATTACCAAATAAGAAGGAAATATTAAATTTCCATGTACTCCATATCAATATGCTGAGATTATGTTAAGAAACCCTTCTGACCATTAAGATTTAAATGGCCCACATTACCTTTGCCCTTCCCTGATTCACAGCCCCTTGGATCATTCTGATTTTGCCTTGGTTGTGTTCTGAAGCTCAGCATGACACAGTAATTCAAAGTGATTAAAGTAGTAAGCACCTCATTCATTCTGTATCCATCCATATCCTATCAATTATTGCAAATTGTGCCTGGCTATTACAAATGAAGAATCTCAATTCCATGCACACTATGATTCGAGCCTTTGGGAAAACTAGCTTTGAACCCCATTTTTCACTCTACTTCCTGTTAAATGCCACTTCTACTTTGCACATGGAAACCATATCTAGAAGAACTGCTAATAATTCAGTGATTCAAATACAAAGTTAGAACTTTCTGTTGGATAATCATGCTCATAATATTTACCTAGGATCCTGGGAATCTTTATGAAATGTTAAGTCCAGGTCCTTACATCCAAAATTGCAGCTAAGGCTGAGTCAAAGAAACATAACGCTTTTAAACTTTAACGACTCTCTTTTCAGCATCCTTTACTTTCACATCCAACATGGTGCTTGTTCACAGGAGACAAAACAATACAAACCTTGCACTCTTTTTAGAAAAATGTTCTTTAGGACACATGAAGCATTATGGGTTTCCCTCTCACCAACCCTCTCTGCTAAAAATCTGTGCATTTACCCCAATATATCATTTGACAAGAGATAGGTGCTGAGGTTTGACATCTTTCCCATCTTCCCCAAGTTTTATCTACCAGACTTTATCCAAGTTTCATCCACCTTCCTTTGCTCGTACCTTCATTGGTTCTATTTTCTTTATTTTTAATCACATCTTTTTCCCACCTGCAATAGTCTATTCATCTATATCCCTCTCCTTCTAGGCAAGATTCAAATTCACAATCTTTAAGAGAGCAATCCCAATTAAATCATTCTGTCGAAATCTTCTTTTTCCTTCATTGGCACTATTTTTATCTGTCTGAAGTACTGGCTCTCATTAGAAACACCTAGAGAGTTGATGGGTAGGACCATCCCCACAGGTCATCGTTCAATTAGTCTGAGATGGTATCCTTCAAGCTCCCCAAGAAATTCCAATGAGCAGACAGAATTGAAACCTACAGTAACTGTTCTGGATCTTTATTC